TTTCTGCTGGTCTGGTACAGCTCTTACCACGGTCTGATTATATAGTGAGGAATGCACATTCCCAAAGCCAAGACAGAACTTGCATAAAAGAGCATTATTTTTCTGTTGATTTTCTTCCAGATTTCAATGAGTTACTTAATAAATATTTAAATGAGTTAATGTAAAATCTTAGCATGAAAACGGCGTGTGTGGAAAGGCCTGGTGTCACTTTGCAGGCTGGTAACTCTGGTGCTGAAGAGAGAATAAGGATTCTGCATTACGCCAACTGGGTCAGATTGTTCTGGAAGATTGGTGGGGATGCTCAGCGGGCAGGAATGTGCAAGTGGAGACTGGTTCATGAGTATGTGTCTACTGTGTTTATCTCCCGGTCTCTGCCAAGTGAACTGCCTTCTGGATACTGGAGTGTTTATGTGTCCTCAGGGACTCCGGCGGCAGAGTCTTGAGGCAGAGACTTCACCTGGACCTTTCTTCCTCATCTGAAAGTCAGATAATGATGTAGTTCAAGGCTTAGCAAACTGTCCATAAGGAACCAAGTAGGAAGCACTTCGGGCTCTGTGATAAACGTTCTGGGTTGCAACTACTCAGTTGAGGCACAGTGGGGCCACATGTGCTGTGGACAACCCCTACGCTAATGACTATGATTTTCCGCCAATAAAACTGTATTTGCAGAATTAGACAGAGGGCCAGAGATTGCTGACCCTGTTCCCGAATCACTGTTATTTCCATCCAAGGTCTTTGGAACAACACATATCTTGGAAGTAATCCAGAATGTTCCATTATCAAAATGTTTAATTCTCTATGCTGATCATTTGTCCCATCCTGATGAGATATATCAAATTTACTTGCATATGTGTTGTTAGATGTTGTAAAGGGTGAGAGACGAATGCTGTCTTTTATTGGATCGATTGTTTTGCTGTTTGGGCATATGGATGTCTTTTGTTGGTTGTATGTCTGATAGGAAATTCTATTCTGCCTTTGTTTATTTGAATTTTGGTTCTGTTTATATTATTTAAGTGGCTTTTATCCCCGGTATGAAAAGTAAATTAGTGTGTGTTTCAAGTTCTTGCAGAGTAGTGGACTGTTCTGGGTAGTTGGTGGGACAGGGTAGTAGGTAAGCTTGTGAGGGCACTGGGAGGACTGTTCTGTGTCTGACAGATCCAGAGCCAGTGGAATCTATGCTGGAGGGGTTAGGTAGTTAATCTCCATTAGGAAGCTAGTGCAGGGATCAGATGCAGAGGAATTGGAATGGACCTGGGTCCAAGGATAGCAGGGGACAGGGTGGGTCCTCATCTGAAAGTCAGATAATGATGTAGTTCAAGGCTTAGCAAACTGTCCATAAGGAACCAAGTAGGAAGCACTTCGGGCTCTGTGATAAACGTTCTGGGTTACAACTACTCAGTTGAGGCACAGTGGGGCCGCATGTGCCGTGGACAACCCCTACGCTAGTGACTATGATTTTCCGCCAATAGAACTGTATTTACAGAATTAGACAGAGGGCCAGAGATTGCTGACCCTGTTCCCGAATCACTGTTATTTCCATCCAAGGTCTTTGGAACAACACACATCTCGGAAGTAATCCAGAATGTTCCATTATCAAAATGTTTAATTCTCTGCTGCTGATCATTTGTCCCATCCTGATGAAATATATCAAATTTACTTGCACATGTGTTGTTAGATGTTGTAAAGGGTGAGAGACGAATGCTGTCTTTTATTGGATCGATTGTTTTGCCCTGATTAGAGTGGCAATGTGTCCAGATAATCCCAAACATCTTGCACCATAAAGACACAGCATACACCAAATTTGAGGCCAACATAAAGCCACATGATAGCATTCTAGTGTTTTTTAGAATGAAGAGAAACTTCTCTACATGGATATGAAGTGTGTGAATACTTTTGCTTTTAACAATGATAAGCTTAAAGCATGATCTTTTCTTTACCAACTCACATGTGTCCATAAAACAATTTTAGAGTAATTCCTCAATTTCGTAACCATGCATTGTTGCTGTCTTTCATTTGTTTTTCATACTTGGAAAAACTCATTCACGGAGTTTATATTAAGTATAAATAGTACTTAATAAGGAAGTGTGTTTTGGTCCTCTCATAGGGCCATTCTTATAGGAAAGTATGTAAAATCTATATACATGCGAAACACATATAAACTTTTGCTTCTTTTCACTTTTATTTTGAGGATAATCACTACAACACTTTAGAATACTGCATTTTATAGGATCAGAATGTGAAACTTGGCATCAGAATGTTGTCTCACAAAGGCATTGGTAGGAGATTGTAAAGTTACCAGGGGCTCTAAACACTCACGGTAGAGACAGCCCAGTAGGAGGCTGGGTGGGGTGAACAGAATAGTGGCACTGATTACCTTGAGCTGATGCGGACACCCTGGGTGACAGCTATACTGAATAAAATGTGCTAATTAATGCAATTTGATAAAACTTGCCAAATACCACATATCTTTCATGGAGGAGATAATAACTATAGCTATTTCTGGTTAAAGGTTAAGGAATGTCTGGAAACAAAATGACAGTAACAGTCTCATGCACACCTCCTGGTCAGCCCTTCTCTTGTGCTGGGTTCTGTAGGTGCAGCACCTTGAGGTGGGATGGGGGATGAATGAGGAGTTGGATCTGCACCCAAGTCTCGTGAGCTCCCAAGCCCCAGATCTTCCAGGACTTTCTAATGGCGAATTCCCCCAGTCTCTGTAATGTAGACTGGGTCTCTGTGGGCCAGCACTGGGTGGGCATGCTCTGTTGAAGATATGTGTGCTTTGGAGAGGGTCATTTCCCATGAAGCAAGGAGGCCGCTGCAGGGCACCCCTGGCTTCTTTTCACAGGGCAGCCTCTATGAGATGATTCCTTTCCAGAACTGCTGATCAAATATTGGTTTATGTGTTTATGTCTTGGAACTTTCAGGGGAAAGAAGGTCCTCCTGGTCCCCAAGGCCCATCAGGAATTCCAGGAATCCCGGTAAGTAGCACTTTTTAAAAAATATATTTTTAATTGAGCTTTCGTAAGTTCATACAACAGTCTTTCATCAAATTTAGATCTCCCCTCCCCCATACATGCCCCCCGTCCCCCTACTGGACCTCAAGTATTCCACCATACATGTTAAATCCTATCCAGTCAAGCATTTGTACTAAAGTGTCCTTCAGTGTAAATTCATCCTCTGGAGTCTAGTCAGTCCATCTATACAACTAAGGCTTGTGAAACATCGTGGAGCAAGAGCTAGAGAAAAGACTAATACATCCCTCAACTCTCACCAGCCAAACTTCCTTATACAACAGTGTGATGCACAACTGGCCAAGTTTTAAAGAATAAGAGACTGTAGAGTGTGGACAGGACTCCTATATGGAGCCTCATCTACCACAGCTCAGGGACCATTGTGGAAGAGGGGGCAGAAAGATTGTAAGAGCCAGGGCTTGTTCATGAACACAGGGAAGCAGAGGCTTTCAGGCCACTGGAAGTTTGTACACGTGAACTTGTGGCAGTGGTGGTGTCGAGCTCAGGACCCATGTCAGCTCAAGTAGCAGTTTTTAAGAGTCTGGTTTCTCTTCATGAAAATAAGCAAACAAAAATGTGTTCCAGTCAGGATTGGTAAGCATACACCTATGATTCCAGCACCAGAGAGGTGGAGGCAGGATTTAAGACCAGCCTGGAGTATGTGAGACCCTGACTTAAAATCCTCTCTCCTGCCTCAAAGAATGAGTTCTACCATTGTAGAAGAAGTGCATGGCCATTAGAAAAGCGTGTAGTGCAACGCTTAGCAAGTTCTGTTCATAGGCAAGTAGGAAGAATTTCAGGCTTTGTGAGAAATGTGCTCTGTTGCAATCCCTCAGCTGAGCTGCCATAAGGCAGCATGGGTTTTGTGGTATTTTAGAAATTAGAAGAAAAATAATCACATATGGATATACAATATACACATGTGTACAGACACATCCATGTTTGTTTTAGTTTCCAGACCTACTGTTACAAGTTCATAAAAGGCATATACACTATGTCTAATGGATATAGCATTACATGTGTGGTATTTATGTTGCCTCATAAAGCTTATAATTATTCCTTTTCAATTAAATTTTTTGTGAATTTTAAAGTTTATTTTGATCATATGTAAATCCCTTCCCCATCTGCATTCTTGTACTAGCCTCTCACCAGAGTTTGTGTAATCGGTTATATATAGAGCTAGATGATAGATGATAGACAGACAGTCAGACAGACAGACAACAGATAGATATACACAGATAGATGATAGATAGATGATAGATAGATAGAGATAGAGATAGATAGATGGATGATAGATAGATGATAGATGATAGACAGATGATAGATGATAGATAGATTGATAGATAGATGATAGATAGATGATAGATGATAGATGATAGATAGATAGACGATAGATAGATGATAGATAGATGATAGATAGATGATAGATAGATGATAGATAGATGGATGATAGATGACAGATATTAAGGTCTATAGAGTCTAATTTGTCCAAATGTCCTTTGGTGTGGATTCATCCACTGGAGCCTTATTAGCCTACCCAATCACACCCTTAAAAGAGATTGGCCCTCCCCTTCCCAGCAGCCGTTGGTTTTCAATAGTCCCTCAGGTAGGGTTGGGGTTTCTTACCCACCCTTTCTTTCTCATGCATAGCATTTTCTTTGATTCCTTTAGTGACACCCTAGAGTGGAGTTTTAATTGTCAGACTGTAATTACTGCTAAGATTTTTGATATATACTGAAAAATTAACCTTAAACAAATGTTTATTCTCAATGTCTCAGTTTAATACGCATCTTGATAGGGTTGAGATCTCTAGTGTCCTCCCAGTAAGATCTGTGCGGGAACTGGTCCTTCTCCAGTTAAATGAGCATTTGCAATCGACTGGTCACAGCACCCTGGTCCTGCTCCCATATGTCCTTTAACTTCAGGCATACTGACTTTCATTGGCTCCTGGGACGTGCAGCAGTCTCTCCTGAGACACTTGATCCCTCCAGGACACATGACTTCTGCCTGTTCATTTCTGCCTGTGCAGAATGACCTCTGGTTACCTCTTTTACTGGTTCATGCCTCCCAAGCCCTGGGTGCTGGGAATGAAATCTAGGGCATCACATATATTAGGCAAACACCCTATTACTAAGCTACATCCCTAGCTCCTAATTCAATTGAACATTTTATTCCTTCAATTTGTTGGAAAAGTATTACACACACACACACACACACACACACACACACAAACACACGTATATTATGATTTTGTTGTTGTTTAGTGATGCTAGGAGTCAAACCCAAAGCTTTGCACATGCTAGGTGAATGTAGCCCGCGGTCGAAGCCTTTAGTCTCAACCCCATGTCAGCCCAGGCTTCGCTTCACTCCTTGCTTCCTTCTGAGCTGAGACAGGCTCTCCTCTCCCCTCCTTTCACGTCTGAATCTCCATCCTGATGCTGTCGCTTCTATTATCTTTTGTTATCCATTGATCTGATTGTATCATCCACTCAGCATCTCTAATTAGGTACCCCCTATGTGCTAGATTGGAGAGCATAATCGAGGGGCATAGTTGGGAATTGTATTATGCTTTATAGTTTGGGTGTGTGCACATCTGCCTCTGTGGAGCCTTGCCTCCCCACAGAGCAAACAGCAAAGAAATGTGGGAAAGAATGAAGAGTGCCCTTCCAGTTGACTCTTTAACAAGTGTGACCACTGATGGAGGCTGGCTGTCCTGGGCACAGCTCACTACAAGCCTGCAGCCCAGGGTGTTGAGTTACCTGTTGTAGCATACAGATCTGAAGTGTCAGGGGAAGCAGGAACCCTTGCACATATAAGTCTTGAGAGTGGTGTGCTGTCCAGCGGGGACCTGTGTAGTGATTTGATTCTAACAATGGTGTGTCAGTCACTTTCTGTTGCCATGATAGAAACACTGACCCAAGCAACTTATAGAAGGAAGAGTTTATTTGAGCTTGTGGTTCCAAGGGGCAAGAGTCCATCATGGCGGGGAGGCATGGCGGGAGAGGTGACTGGAGGAGGAGCAGAAGCTAAGCTCTCACATCTGCAAACAGGCACAGGAAACAAAAGAGCAGCTGAGATCCAGAAAGGCTTAAGAACCCTCTAAGCCCCCCAGTGACGTGCTTCCTCCAGCATGGCCACACCTTCTAAGGCCTCCCAAAACAGCACCACCACTGGGGACAAACTGTCCAAATACTTGGAGCCTGTGGTGGGCATTTTCATTCAAAACACCACAGATGGTAAAGCCAAGAGAGACAATCTCCAGTTTGCATTTTGTGCCCATCCCTGTCGTCAGTCTCCCAGGGGACTAGGCTGGGGGTGGGCAGCCCCGGGTGTAACTGTGCTCTTTCCTTAACCTACTCAGTCTCCTTCTCCCTGTTTTCACCCTTCAACACTGAGGTCCAAGATCTTACTTTCAATACTTTTCTACTCATCCCTTCCTCTCTCCCTTCTTCCCCTCCAGTGTGGCCCTGACCATATTACCACCCTTTCTGGTGTTTATTGTCACCATTAATCCAAGACTGGGCTTGTACTGACTTACTTCCTGTGCGTAATGCTTGGCCCTCCTCCCTGTAGCTTTTGTATAGAAGGGAGAATAGTTTTGGGTTCCTTCCTGACCCTCACAACCCAATCTTTCTTCTCTGACTCGTTCACACCTGTGCCCCTTAAATCCCTCCACACCGGCACAAATCACTCCAGCTGCTTTCCTTCCTCTGTCAAGTTCTTCCTGCCTGACACCTCCTCTCTGCCTTCTGAGTGGACAGTGAGAACCATAATGACTTCTGTGTGTACTGAGTTCATGTGTGCACAGGACTTTCCACACATGAATACATTCCATCTATCCACTCACCTGTAAACTACCATCTGATGTCATTTCCTCCTGAGACATGCCCTTGACTGTCGCGAGCCGGGACTCTGTCCAGCAGAGTCCAGGAAAGACGACACAGACACCAAGGTGGGGTTCAAGCTTCTGTTTCTCTTTCATCCTTTATTCTCTTCACTATGATGCTGTCTCTCACTATGATGCTGTAGTCGTTGTTCTGTTCTATTACATACCTAGCTGTTTATATAGCATTTCCAACAGCCCTTCCCCCAGGCCGGTACCAATCAGGGCACACACACGTGCAGCGGGCAGGCAGAGTGGCTCATTAGGCTCATAGCAAGATCATCAGGCTGGCAGCACCTGTTTGGCCTCTCCATACTTTGGAGTAAACAAGCGGGATTCACGAGCCTTGGCAAACAGCCAAGAGTTGAAGTAAACAGCACGAGGTTTGGCAGCCAGCCAGGGCTCCATCTTTGGCTGGCTCGGCTGTGCTCGCTTCCCACA